AAAAGGGAGACTGGGAACTGGTCTATGGGGACCAGTGGGAAAGGGAAGAGTGACTAAGATGGATATCAGGTCATCAAAAGAAAAGGCTAGGAAAATGGGTATTGCAAGAAAGGTGATAGGATGTTGGGTTTCTGAGGATCTGGCCTTTTTTGCCTTTGCTCATTGCAAACAAGGCACCACATCATGGGTGCGGACAAGCCAATGCTGAAGCTGCTGAGAGAGAAGGGACTACAGTGGGGTGCTGCACAGCTGCTAAATAGAGTAGAATGAAGATGTAAGGAAAGAGCTTGAGCTTTTCAAAGCCTGGGAAAACCAATTTCATTAAGTCTGGAATGTCAGGAAGCATAGAAAGAGTTAAACATGAATAAGTAGAGCAGTGTTCAATTTCTAGAGCTCTGAGGGACATCTATCTGGTAAACCAAAGCTGCCTCAATTCCAGCGTTTGGGTGGGATGGGGGTAGGGATTTAAGAAAAAATTTTGGGCCATTCTTTCTGTTTTTAGCAAGGATGCTATTAGCATTTAGACCAAGACTCTTCCCCACCTGCGTAGCAGAAGTGCCTATAGGGAAAGGTTAGAGGCATTGGTGGGCGAGGGGAGGGTGACAAGCCAGGGGCCACAGCTCTAAAGGAGTAAAATGTATTATGTTCCAAATTTGTGTTGGGGAAAGGAGAATTATTTTCCAGGCTCAACTTGAACTGTTTGAGGACCAGCTCAGAGTCTTCTTGAGGAAAGGGCAGGAAGCCTTTGGGTACAGGGGACTAACAAGTGCAACTGTGGCAGTTTGGGTCTTGAGCCCTAAGACAGCCCTAGTCCTTGAAGAAACATGGGTCAGAGAGCCTTTGTCTCACTCCTTTTCAAGACATTTCAGAGGGAGGCTGCTTACTCAAGGTCCTAAGGTGGGTTTATGGTGGCTTTCCACCATCTAGCTGCTCTCGATTCACTGAACGGTGAAGACAAATCTAGGGAAAAGGTACATTCTTAGGCTTCCATGAATGACAGTCATGGCTATCTTGGGAGTCCTTTTATTTTGGTGTTCACCTGGGTCTTTTTTTAATTGACAATATTAGTTTCAAGTATACAGCATAGTGGTTAGACATTTATATAATTTATGAATTAATCCCCTCCGATTAGTACCCACCTGGAACTATACATAGTTATTACAGTATTGTTGACTATAGTATCGATGTTGTACTTTACATTCCCCTCTTTTGTAACTACCAATTTACTTAATCCCTTCCACTCACCAGGGCCTTTTATGACCTCATTTGTAAAACGGCTGATCTGTTTTGACGGTTCCCCTGTAATTCTTGCTAGTGTATCCACCACCTAGATTCTTGTTTCTAATACTTGCAGCCACTAATCATGCATGACTTTTCATTAGAATCAAAATTCAGTTCCTCAGTAATACTAGACACATTCTAAAGTGCCAGCAGCCAATGTGGTTACTGTCTGCTGTATTGAACAGTACAGATATATATAGATATATCTATATATAGAGATATATATATAGAAGATGTCTATTTCAGAAAGGCCTATTGGACAGTGCTAATCTAGACATATAAGACCTGGTATATAGTAGCTGTTTTATAAACAGTTGCATGAATAGTCCTCTGGACTGTGTGTCATTGCTAGTAAGAGTTGGTTTCCACTTGCCCCTTTCCCCTTTCTGGCAGCAAAGTTGTAGGAACTTAGATTGGAGTCTAGGTCCACATAGTGCAGGATATAATCTTAAGGCTTTGGAGAAGGCAAGATGAGGTATCTGGGTTACAGCCAATTTTCAGTTCCTGAGATTCACCCTGAGCTGGCTTGACTGCTCTCTAGCTGCAACCAGACATGGTAGCACCTAGAGGTGATGACAACTGGAGCAGGGGACTGGGTAGGTGGGCATGCTGTGTGCTGATGTGGGGTACACTGACCACTCAAAGCATGAGGGAGCCGCACCCCATTTTTAACTGATCCAGAGTCAGCTTTTCACCACAGGAGAAGGTGAGTGGGTGAAGGGAACTTGAGAAAACAGAGAGAGAAATGTGCTGAGGCTCCAGTTCTTCCAGGGGGTCAGTTATAGGAGCCTCTTGTGAAGGGAGATAATCTGTGTTGGAGGGTAAGTAACCTTCATGGGTAGGAAGGTAGTCCACAGGGAGGACCGTAATGGAGCTCGCTGGTTTTACTGGCTTTGAGTGAGAGTCCCTGCTCTCCAGCACCTTATACAGATCCACTAGTCCTGTCTCCGCTGTGAGAGCTCTTTGAGGTGGTGGGCTTGAGACACTGTCTTCCTCAGAAGTATAGTGATCTTGAACTCGTCCCTTTTCTGGCCAGATGGAATGAAGGGGACGTCTGAAGACTGGGATCACTTGAAAGACTTCATCGATGACCAGGGGCTCAGGTTCTTCAGAAGTGGGCCAGTCCATGGGCAGCTGCATTTTCTGAGAAAGAGGAGGGAAAGGCTCATGTGGCTATGTTAGAACCCACTTCTCCAGGGTTCCAAAAGACCTCACAGCCTGCACTGCCTAGTCAGCTCGAGGTGGGACACTGAGCCCTTAACTTCATGAGTTAAAGTAGTTAACATTGTCAGGGAGTCAGACAGGAGCCATGGTCCCCTCAATCCCCAGCCAGTGAGTGATCCTTCAACCAGACTCTGGCGAGTCAAACTGCACTAGCTGCTCTTCCTTAAGGACAGAGGGCACACTGGTTGCAAAGGAAAGGCTGAGCTTGTCTCTGGAGAAGGAGACGGTAACTTTAAAAGGGTCACACTAGAGCGGAATCCTGAGAGGTATATTTTCCAGATAGGAAAGTTGTGGGCAGGGAAGACTGGTCTATTCTGTAACCTGCTAGTTCTTAGGAAAGTGAGGCTTTGGAAATTGGAGGTCATGTGTTAAAGGGACTTTTAAAGGATGCAAAGGTTCAACTATTGAAAGGTTATAGGCAGGGTAATATCTTCGTCAGTTCTGCTCTTAGTGGAATAACTTCTTTGGAAGAAATTTTCATATTTTTTTCCC